AATCTATCTCTCTGTCTCTCTCTGCCTTTCAAATAAAATAAAGAAAGAAAAGACAATAAAGCTACAGCAGGCAGGTCTTTCAGCTGGGCATTTTGGACGGCCGCGAATGGTGTCCTAAACACTCAAACGGCCCTTGGCCGGGTTCCCAGGCGCTGCTCTAAGGGCTGGGCAAAGGAATGAACAAAGAGGAAACAGGATACACACAGCCTACAGGAGAGGGGACTTTCGGAGGTGAGAGTTTCCTCTCACCCTCAAATGTGTCACTTACACATTTTTTCTACTCTCACTTCCTTCTTTCTGCTCCAACCGCCATGGCATTGGAAGGTCAATAACCACTCCTGCCACGGGACGTCCACCTGTCCCACCGCAGTCGCCACGGGGCGTCTGCCGGTCCCAGCACCCAAGCTGCCGGAAGTCCACCTCGCCCACGCCCCTCTCCACCGGAAGTCCACCTCGCCCATCCCCTCTTCACTGGAAGCCCACCTCTCCCGCCTCCCCCATCTCCACCAGAAGTCCACCTCACCCATCCCCTCTGCACCAGAAGTCCACCTCGCCCACCCCCTCTCCACCAGAAGTCCACCTCGCCCATCCCCTCTCCACCGGAAGTCCACCTCGCCCACCCCCCTCTCCACCGGAAGTCCACCTGCCCACCCCCCTCCTCACTGGAAGCCCACCTCACCCATCCCCTCTGCACCAGAAGTCCACCTCACCCACCCCTCTCTCTATCGGAAGTCCACCTCTCCCACCCACTCTGCACCAGAAGTACACCTCATCCACCCACCTCCTCACCGGAAGTCCACCTCACCCATCCCCTCTGCACCAGAAGTCCACCTCACCCACCCCTCTCTCCACCGGAAGTCCACCTCACCCATCCCCTCTGCACCGGAAGTCCACCTCGCCCATCCCCTCTCCACCGGAAGTCCGCCTCACCCACCCCCTCTCCACCAGAAGTCCACCTCACCCATCCCCTCTCCACCGGAAGTCCACCTCGCCCATCCCCTCTCCACCGGAAGTCCACCTCACCCATCCCCTCTCCACCAGAAGTCCACCTCGCCCATCCCCTCTCCACCAGAAGTCCACCTCACCCACCCCTCTCTCCACCGGAAGTCCACCTCACCCATCCCCTCTGCACCAGAAGTCCACCTCGCCCATCCCCTCTTCACTGGAAGCCCACCTCTCCCGCCTACCCCCTCTCCACTGGAAGTCCACCTCACCCATCCCCTCTCCACCGGAAGTCCACCTCACCCATCCCCTCTCCACCGGAAGTCCACCTCACCCATCCTCTCTGCACCAGAAGTCCACCTCGCCCATCCCCTCTTCACTGGAAGCCCACCTCTCCCGCCTACCCCCTCTCCACCGGAAGTCCACCTCGCCCATCCCCTCTCCACCGGAAGTCCACCTATTCTAAGTTCCCTTGTTGCTAAAAGCAGAAATGGGGCAGATGCTCTGAAAAGAAACAGGAAGAGATTTGTGGGGACTAATGCTCTTTTATGGACTCGGAGTGTAGCTGGGTTCACAATATATATGGGACATCAACTTTACAAATTATCTAGGGAATCAAATTGGGTCGGTGGCCATTTCTGGGTGCCATTGCAATCTCACGCCCCCGTGTTCCCCACACTTGAAGGTGCACGTGAGTCACCTGGCGACCCCATCATATGAAGATCCTGATTCAGAAGGTCTGCACTTCCATCAGGCTCCCAGCTGGCGCTGGCACCGCCAACCCAAATTCTCACTGGCAGCAGCCGGGAGCCGGACTTCTTGGGAGAACAAAGCCCTGTACGCCGCCTGCAGAAGTTCCTGACGTGATGCAAATGCGAAGAGCTAAATGAAAAGACGTTCGTATACGCGATGTACTTGAAAAGCAACTGCAGGGCCGGCGCTGTGGCATAGTAGTTTAAGCTTTCACCAGCGGCACCAGCATCCCATATGGGCACCGGTTTGAGTCCTGGCTGCTCCACTTCCGATCCAGCTCTCTGCTATGGTCTGGGAAAGCAGTAGAAGATGGCTCAAGTCTTGGCCTCCTCCTGCACCCGTGTGGGAGACCCAGAAGAAGATCCTGGCTCCTAGTTTCGGATTGGCCCAGCTCTGGGTAGTATAGCCATTTGGGGAGTGAACCAGTGGATGGAAGTTTCTCTCTCTCTCTCTCTGTTTCTCTCTCTGCCCCCCGCCCCATCTGTAACTTTGCCTCTCAAATAAATTAAATAATAATTTTTTTAAAAAAGGGCAATTGCTTAACTCCACACCTGCCAAAATGCCTGGCTGACTCCGACTTTCCGAGCATGGAATCAAAAAGACAAAATCTGGCCGGCGCCGCGGCTCACTAGGCTAATCCTACTCCTGCGGTGCCAGCACCCCGGGTTCTAGTCCCTGTCGGGGCGCCAGATTCTTTCCTGGTTGCCCCTCTTCCAGGCCAGCTCTCTACTATGGCCCAGGAGTGCAGTGGAGGATGGCCCAAGTACTTGGGCCCTGCACCCACATGGGAGACCAGGAGAAGCACCTGGCTCCTGCTATCAGATCAGCGCGGTGCGGCGGCCATTGAAGGGTGAACCAACGGCAAAGGAAGACCTTTCTCTCTGTCTCTCTCTCTCTCACTGTCCACTCTGCCTGTCAAAAAAAAAAAAAAGTGCAATGCTCCTTTATTCTCCACTAGGTAGATTTTTTAAAAAGATTTATTTTATTTATTTGAAAGGCAGAGTTAGAGAGAGAGAGTGAGATATCTTTTATTCACTGGTTCACTCCCCTAATGGCCGCAAAAGACCAGGGCTGAGTCAGGCTGAATCCAGGAGCCAGGATCTTCTTCCGGGTCTCCCACGTGGGTGCAGGGGCCCAAGCACTTGGGGCATCTTCCACTGCTTCCCCAGGTCCTTTAGCAGGGAGCTGGATCAGAAGTGGAGTAGCTGGGACTCGAACCGGCGCCCATATGGGTGCTATTGCACAACCCCGGTCCTCACTAGGTTGCTCTTATTTTGTTCCTCAGAAGATAAGAGATGCATTTGTTAGGCAGGAAGTTAGATATGAGCTTATGTGTGTGTGACAAAGGCCTCCGGAGAAGACTTCTAGGGCCAGCATATGCATCTACATCTCAAAGTTATCCCGATAATGCTTCAGGGGCAGTCCAGTGTTTGCATCGTGCCCTGCCCCCTTCTACCTGATAACCTGCCAGGTGGAGGTCCCCACCCCTTCTGCCTGACAAATCTTCCACAGTCTCCCAGATGCAGTCCAGTATCTGCACTTCAAACACCCTGCTCCGGATCCCATTCTCTAGGGGGTCCTGCTCACCCTTCCTCTGAACCCAGGATGGTGCCAGCTAGGCTTCCTCCTGTCTGATACCTTCAGGGGAAAACTCAGATAGGAGCTTCTTAGTATTTACAGCCATAAAATCCTTTGTTTCAGCAGGAAATGTGTGAAGACAGAGACCCATCTCCTTAAAAACCCCCTGCTTCAACCGGACTGCGTGCTCAGCCTTCTGCCTCTCTGCTGAGTCGCCCGCCTGGTCTGGCCAGGTGTAATCTCTCCTCTCAACATGTAACCTCGCTCCCTCCCACCCCAGTCCGAGTGACTGGGCACCCTCTCAGGTCCTGTCTGGAGAGGTGCCCATCCATCCTTACGGATGTCTCTTCCCTAATAAACCTTGCTATTTTACCTCCCACTACTCTCTGTCTCACGCCTGAATTCTTTCTTGCAAGAACCCTGTGAATTTCTCCGGTAACACATTCATTCATTTGTGCTGGGTTCCTGCTGTGTTGTCAGAGCAGCAAGTAACATGCCCCCGGGGCCCTCAAGGAGCTGATAGTCTAGTGCAGGGAGACAGCAGGCATCAGGGCAGGTGGCTGGCAGAATTTCTCCTTAAAGGACCAGAGGGTAAATCTTCCAGGATTTGCAGGCTACGCAGCCTCTGTCAGAGCTAACATACCACTATGACGGCGTGAAAGCGAAGGCAGGCGGCTGGGTTCTGATAAAGCTCCACTTGCCACGTCGAAGGGCGGGAGGCTGGGTTGGGGCTGTGTGTGAGGACATCGCTGCCTGATGTGAGCACCTAGTACAGGAGGGGTTGGGATGATACAGGCTTCGGGGACTGCATGGCTGTGCGGAAGTGAAAACAATTAGGACTTTGCCAACTGGGCTGGGAAAAAGGACCGCCCTGCTGGAGCAGGAGCCCTGGGGGATGAGCCCTGGGGGATGAGCCCTGGGATGGGGAGCGAGGTCAGCTCTGGGAGGCTGTCGGAGCCACGCCCAGGACTTTGGTCCTTGTCCTGAACGTGGAGAGCCCAGGACTTTGGTCCTTGTCCTGAACGTGGAGAGCGACTGAGGTGGAGGAAAGCTTGTGAGCTTCCGGTTAGTTTATACAATGACCTCATTTTCTTTCTTGTAAAGCTGGGTGACATCAGGATTGCCAGAGGCGGGACTTGGAAGAATTCACGGGGAATGGTTTGTCATTTGAGTCCATTTCCCAGGAACTTCCTGAAGTCCCCCTGCACTGTCCCCATTTTCTGATGATAACACCAGCTCCAGGTTCACTGCCTCTCTGAGGTGGAATCAGGATTCAAACCCAGATCTGGTGGGCACGAGGCTCCCAGCTCCCTCCAAGCTGCAGCCCGCTGTTGGAGAGCCTCTTGTTCCACAGGTCCCTTGTTCCACTGCCGGCGCGCCGCCTGCCTCCCTCTATCCACAAGGCTCAGTTCGGTGCATGCCACGACTACTCGGGTTGGACAGAAACTCAGTGATGAGGGAGGGGAGGGGAGAGCTGAACCCTAAACGGTGCCGAGAGGTGATTTCAGTTGGGCTGGGGAACAGCCAGCCCCTCGGGATCCAGGACAGTGCCAAGGAAAGCCGGGCGTGCCCTTGTGGCCAAGGGCTTGCTCTGCTCTGCTGGTCTTGGCTGAGACCCACCTGGCACTCAGAAGGGGCGTGGCTACTCTGTGCTCCTGAGGTCATAAAGGTCAGAAATTCCGGAGATTCTTGCTGAGGCGTCATCCTGGACTCTTCCCCCTGTGTCTGCTTTACTTGGTTGCTTAGTTGCAGAAGATTTTGTCTTTTTTTTTTTTTTTTTTTTTTTTTTTTTGACAGGCAGAGTGGACAGTGAGACAGAGAGAGACAGAGAGAAAGGTCTTCCTTTGACGTTGGTTCACCCTCCCATGGCCGCCGCGGCCAGTGTGCCGCGGCCGGCGCACCGTGCAGATCCGATAGCAGGAGCCAGGTGCTTCTTCTGGTCTCCCTTGGGGTGCAGGGCCCAAGCACTTGGGCCATCCTCCACTGCACTCCCTGGCCACAGCAGAGAGCTGGCCTGGAAGAGGGGCAACCAGGACAGAATCCAGCGCCCCTACCGGGACTAGAACCCGATGTGCCGGTGCCACAAGGCGGAGGATTAGCCTAGTGAGCCGCGGCGCCGGCCATAATTACACCTTTCTGCTCTCCAGGAATTGCGTTATGTGCAGCAAGAGTCAGACTGTCTTGGGAGGAGGAAACTGGACAGTCTCCGGAAGCAGGGGGGAATCTCCCATCAAGCATTGCCAAGGCAGGTTTGCCCTGTCCATGGGCCCAGGTGGGTATGTACAGAACAGCCCAGGTCAAAGTCTCGGCCACAGGTGTCTGAACTCCCAACTCCATTTTGAGTGCTATTGCACTCTCATTACCTTCTTTGCTATTTCTTGGTCTTCCTGAGCCTTAGGTAAGGGGAGAGCCGGTTGTGTGGCTTGAAGCAACAGGTGTGAGGTCCGTTTGATTGAGACAGGCTTCCTGGCTCCCAGGAAGGAATAGTGCAATAAGGCAGCTTACCTGGATCGTGGACACCTGGGCGGCCTACAAGGACTCACCCGCCCTGCGACATGCTCCTGAGGCTGACTCCAAGGACACCCAGAATTGTGCAACCCAGCCGGGGACGGGAGACCCGTGGGGAGACCTGGCGGAAGTTGGATGCACCTGCTGCTGTCTGGGGGAAGGAGCATCAATCAGTATGTAAATCGTGTAAGTGAGGATCCAATCAGCGTGCCACGAAGTGAAAACGGCATTTGATTGGCTGGGACATTTTAAGCCTATGCTGCCCATAAACAGTCTGGCTTGCCCAGCAACCACGTTTAACTTCACCTGATTTCATTTCCTTGAAGTGTTGAGGTTCATTTTGCAATGTTTTAGAGAGAGCCCTGGGCTGGGGCCGGGAGCCTGGGGAATTGAGTGCCATTTCTGCGACCGGTTGAGTGTCGGGAGTGAGGGGAAACTCACTTGATAATAGGCTGAGAAGTGGAAAGCGCAGCGGTCCAGGCTTCTCCCAGCACTGTGGCCTGCACGCCTGCCACGTTCTATCCTGGGTGTTGGAGGTACCAGCTTCCTTCCCTACTCCTGGAAGGGAGGTACCAGGATGTCAGCGCAGAGAGACAGGTCTCCCTGTGTCCTCTTGAGGGGGCCTGTTGTGGCCACTGGTTTTCCTCCTGGTACCCCTGTTGGCTTCTTCTTTTTTTTAAGTATTTCTTTATCTGAAAGGCAGAGTTACAGAGAGGGAGAGGCAGAACAGAGAGAGAGTAGTCTTCCATCCATTGGTTCACTCCTCAAATGACCACAACAAACGGCTGTGCCAGGCTGAAGCCAGGAACGTCTTCCGGGTCTCCCACGTGGGTACAGGAACCCAAGGACTTGAACCATTTTCCACTGCTTTCCCAGGCCATAGCAGAGAGCTGGATCGGAAGTGGAACAGCCAGGACTGGAACCGGTGCCCATATGGGATGCTGGCACGGCAGGCAGAGGCTTAGCCTACTACGGCCACAGCACCAGCCCCTGGCTTTCCTTTCACTAAAACTATGGAGATCACTTGTTATGTGATAGGCCAGGAGCTGGCGCTGGGGAGATGTTTGAAATCTGGACCACAGAAGAACCAGTGGTTCCTCCGTTGGCTCCAGCAGGAGGCAGGATCCTGGGTGCTTGCTGTCCCACGTGGGGCAGCAGAGCTGTGCGTGCGTGCGGGCACGACTGGCAGGTCCTTCAGGGAACACGCCTCTCTCGTGCACCTGACACTTCCTGCTGCGTTCCTTCCAGTGGGGTGTGGCGTGTGTGCCGAGGGGAGTACTGGCCTCTGACGTCTTCTGTCCCAGTTGAGGAAGTTTGAGCCACTGATGGCAACTGTGTGTACTCACAGACAATTAACTGTGTTTGTCTGCGTGACCCGACTCCCAGCCGGATAGGCCCACTTCAGATGTATTTTTGTGTATTGCTTTACCTTGGATCATTTATAGGAACTCAGCTCTCCCAGAACCACTTCCTGTCTGGGAGAGGCAGAAATGCTTCAAGGAATGCTACCGTTTTGCGTTGTTCAGGCCTCTGCTCCCTGTCCTGCCGGCCCTCCCCGGCCCCCGCCCTGGTGCAGTCAGCTGCCTGCCCCCGCGGGGGCCTGAGCAAAGTCCCACGGAGCTGGATTGCTTGTGTAGAGTCCGAATTTCCCAGTCAATGCACAAGGCTCAGTCACGGATGCAAAAGCAGAGGCTTATTTGTTACCAGCTGGCTGGGACCCCCTACCCGCACACAGCCCTTTAGCAGTGCACAGGCAAAAGGCCCCTTCATTTGCATAAGAGAGGTTTTCAGGCCGGCGCTGCGGCTCACTAGGCTAATCCTCCGCCTTGCAGCGCCGGCACACCGGGTTCTAGTCCCGGTCGGGGCGCCGGATTCTGTCCCGGTTGCCCCTCTTCCAGGCCAGCTCTCTGCTGTGGCCCGGAAGTGCAGTGGAGGATGGCCCAAGTCCTTGGGCCCTGTACCCCATGGGAGACCAGGATAAGTACCTGGCTCCTGGCTTCGGATCAGCGCGGTCCGCCGGCCTCAGCGTGCCGGCCGCGGTGGCCATTGGAGGGTGAACCAACAGCAAAGGAAGACCTTTCTCTCTGTCTCTCTCTCACTGTCTACTCTGCCTGTCAAAAAAAAAAAAAAAAAAAGAGAGAGAGAGGTTTTCATAGCCTCACACGTGCAAGGGTGCAGGTCATCTCCTACGTAGGTTACCCCCTTACTCTCTATATGGCAAGGTACCGGGACCTAACACGTTCACTGGTTCATTTAAATGTAAAGGCTGTATACGTTATGTGGGGGGAAGGCCACACAAAGGGGATGGCACGGGGAGCCACTGGCGGGAAGCACCAGGCCATAAGTGCCAGGGGGGCTGGTGGGGGCAGGAGGTCCTAAATTCCGGGGGAGCTTAGCAGGCAAGCAAGCAGCCAGAGGACAGAAGAGAGACCGGCATTTAGCAAGCTCGGGACTCCAATCCCTACACTTGCACAGAGGCTCCTCTGCCTCTCTGCCCTCCCCACCTTCCTGGCCGTAGTCTTCAGGTTGTGTCTTTTAAAGATGTTGTGTTTTTTAAAAATTTTTATTTGACAGGTAGAGTTATAGACAGTGAGAGAGACAGAGAGAAAGGTCTTCCTTCCGTTGGTTCACCCCCCAAATGGCCGCTGTGGCTGGCGCTGTGCTGATCCGAAGCCAGGAGCCAGGTGCTTCTTCTTGGTCTCCCACGCGGGCGCAAGGTGCAAGCACTTGGGCCATCCTCCACTGCCCTCACGGGCCACAGCAGAGAGCTGGACTGGAAGAGGAGCAACCGGCGCCCACATGGGATGCCGGCACTGCAGGCAGAGGATTAACCAAGTGAGCCACAGCACCGGCCCCAGATGTTGCGTTTTTTAAAGATGTATTTATTTGAAAGAGTTGCAGAGATTAGAAAGAGGAGAGAGAGAGAGGTCTTCCATCCGCTGGTTCACTCCTCAAATGACCTCAAGGGCTGGAGCTGGGCCAATCCGAAGCCAGGAGCCAGGAGCTTCTTCCTCCCATGTGGGTGCAGGGGCCCAAGGACCTGGGCCATCTTTCACTGCTTTTCCAGGCCACAGCAGAGAGCTGGATCGGAAGTGGAGCAGCCGGGACTCGAACCGGTGCCCATAGGAAATACCAATGGCATCTCAGGTGGCAGCTTTACCTGCTGAGCCACAGCAGCCCTGGGAGAACAATTTAACTCACACTTGCAAAGCGATGTCAGTCAAGTTCTCATTGGATCCTGCAGAACCCCTGTGGAAGTGACTGTCTCAGCCCCAGGAGTCAGCCGACGGCCTCCAGCCTGCTTGGACCCCCCTGCCCATGCCGTGTTGAGGCTCAAGCAGGAGTCAGAGCTTTGAGAGCGGAAGCCCAGAGCTCGGCCTGTTCATCCCACCTGCCCCTCCGGCCTCTCTCAGCTGGAAAGCCGTGCTTCCCCCGCGGAGCGCAATTTCCGCGTGCTGTGACACGGGACAGCCAAGCACAGGCCAAGAGGACTACGCACCACCTCCGTGGGGCCCGCAGCACCTGCAGCGACAGCTTTGAGGATTCTGGTCAGCGGCTCAGGTGTCTCTGGGGATGGAGCAGAGGGAGCTGTCCCAGGCCTCCCAGAGCAGAGACAGGTGCCAGGGCCAAGTGTCCCAGCAGCCTCTGCTTCTGGGGGTTGGTGCTCCCACTCCCACTTCCACCCCAAGCCCAGGAGGCTGTGGCCATTTGAGACCTGAGGGTTGCCACAATTAGGGTGGAGGAGCTCACAGGGCCAGAAGGGAGTGGGGCAGTAGGCTGGAGGATTTGGGGGAAGGGGTATTCTATTTGCGTCCCCAAGAGAGCTGAATGGGAGGAGATCCATGGGAGACAAGAGATGGGGTAGCCGGCTCTGCCTTAGGGCTGACCGTGTGAAGTCCTGGTGAGCACAGCGGTGCTGGAACTCCAGAAGCCCACGCACCCGCCACCACGCCCTGGGATTTCTGATGTGGTGTGGGTCTTGCAGGGAGCGAGGCGGGCAGAAATAGCCACGCCTCCACCCTCGCTGAGATGCGTCCTCCCCAGACTCCGCTGAGGCTGGGAGCCACAGCACACCTCTGGTGACCAGCAACCCATTGAGCCTACCACCACGCGGGCTCAACCTGGGGAGTCTCCTGCTCGTGTCTGGAGTCCTCTCCCCCTCCTCCCCACTCTCCTCTCTTCTCTGGATGTCCTGGCTTGGAGGCCACACCACCAAGGGATAGGCATAAGTTCCCCTTTCCTTGAGGACTTGGAACACCCTTCCCCACCCCACCCGGGCATCCTTCCCAGCTCCTGGGGCCCCAGTGGCCTCGCCAGATCCTTCACTCCTGGCCTCAGCCCCACTGCTCCCCAGCACCCGGCGCCCTCTGCAGGCCAGCACACGACAATCTTGCCACAGTGCCCATGAGCATGCTGGACGCTTCCGTCTTATTCCAAATCCAAGGCCCCCTCCACGCTGTGTGCTAGGAGGCCGGGGGCGGTGGGGGGGCTTGAACCCCTGGCTGCAAATATTCTTCCCTGTCACCTCTGCAGCTCGATCCTCTCCTGTGTGGCTCACCCTTTTGGGGAGTGTGCAACAGCTGGGGCTGACCAGGCTGAGCCAGGAGCCTGGAGCTCCATCTGGGTCTCCCACGTGGGTGGCAGGGACCAAGCCCTTGGGCCATCCTCTGCTGCTTTCCCAGGTGCCTTAGCAGGGAGCTGGACTGGAAGAGGTGGGGCTGGGACTCGAACCAGCGTCCATATGGGATGCTGGTGTCACAGGTGGGGGCTGTGCCACAACACTGACCCCAGGAATGTGTGATTTGAAAATGTCTTGTCAGCTGGTCTATTACAAAGCCATTTCTAAACCAGCTGCCACACATCCAGCGGTGACTTTAGGGTGAAAGGTTGGGACTGCGCCTTTCATCTGGTCGAGCTGTGATCCCAACAGGTGGAGTCTTCGGAACTGGAGTTGAAGCCAGATGAGTCAGACCCCTGGGGCTTCATCCAGTGTGTGTTCTGGAGCCTTCCTTTCGTTTCTAGTGAAAGCTGCAGGCTGAGCCGCCACATGCCCGGTGAGATGGGTTGCCATGGGACATTTGAGATGTGATTAAGCCTACCCCCCACCTGTCTGGGATTAAAATCAGACAGGAAGCCCTGTGCCCCACAGATAACGGAAGGCTGAGGGGGAAATGACATCCGGTTGACTTGGATTGATGCAAACCTTACCCAGGGGTGAAAAAAAAATATTCAGCTATTAGGAGATAAAAGAACATCTCTACAAAGCACACACATTTCCCCGAGCGGAGTGGGGGCGGGGGACCACGGAAAGCTACTGCCAAGCTGTATTCACCGGGCAAAAATGTGCAGCTCAGAAGGAAGCGGAGCAGGGAGTCAGGCCCGGGAGGCTGCAGCAGGAAGGCGGGTCCAGGGTAAACAGAGTCTTCCGGCCCCGGACTCCTGCAGCCCCCAGCTGGTGAGCAGAAACCAGGCCGGAGCCTGCTCCCCGGATCAAGATGAGCTCACCGCTCAGGTGAGGAGGGTGTGGGTGGCTGTGGGGTGGGGGCTGGGGTGGCTTGCCATCCAGGGGATGGAGTGGTCTTTGTGCACTCGGCTGGGTTATTGCTATTGTCATTCTTTTAGAACAAAGAGAAAAGCAATGATCAGAGAGGTAAGAAGGTCGCCGGCCCGGTGGCACCAGAGACAGTGTAACAAGCGCCTTCTACGTAGACAGGATACCTGGCGAGGACAGGTCAGTCCCTTCTCGTCCTCAAATTTGAAACAGGGCCAGCAGAAGAGGTGGACTGTGCTTGGCCAGACATTCCCGAAATTGTAAGGTGCTGACTGAATACCCTTAGATATGCACTAGTTACTGTACAAACCAATCCCAACCAAAGCTTTTGGATCCTTTTTGGAAAGGTTTATTATGTGAAAGAGAGAGAGACAGAGAGAAATTCACCTTTGGCTGGTTCACTCCCCAAGTGCCCACAACTGCCGGGCTGGGCCAAGTTGACAGGAGAAGCCTGCAACTCCATCCGGGTCTCTCACAGGGGTGACCAGAGCCCAAGCACTCAGGTCATCTTCCGCTGCTTCCCCAGGCGTGTGAGCAGGAAGCTGGATCAGAAGCAGAGAAGCCAGGACACAAACCAGTGTCCATCTGGAATGCCTTGTTGTAGGCTGCAGTTTAACCCACTGTACCACAACACCAGCCCCAAGAACATTGCTTTTAATACAGAAAACACTGGGGCCGGTGCTGTGGCGCAGTAGGTTAATCCTCCATCTGCCACATGTGGGAGTCTGAGTCCCAGCTGCTCCTCTTCCTGTCCAGCTCTCTGCTGTGGCCCGGGAAGGCAGTGGAGGATGGCCCAAGTGCTTGGGCCCCTGCACCCATGTGGGAGACCTGGAGGAAGCTCCTGGCTCCTGGCTTCGGATTGGCACAGCTCTCGCTGTTGCAGCCATCTGGGGAGTGAACCAGTGGGAGGAAGACCTCTCTCTCTGTCTCTTGCTCTCACTGTCTATAACTCTACCCCTCAAATAAATAACTAAAATCTTTATTAAAAAATACAGAAAACATAAGAGTACTTCAAAAACCCATGGAATGGAGCTGGCGCTGTGGTGTAGCGGGTAGAGTTGCCATCTGCAGTGCCGGTATCCCATATGGGTGCCGTTTCGAGACCCGGCTGCTCCACTTCCCATCAAGCTCTCTGCCATGACCTGGGAAAGCAGTAGAAGATCCAAGTCCTTGTGCCCCTGCACCCATGTGGGAGACCTGGAAGAAGCTCCTGGCTCCTGGCTTTGGATCTGCGCAGCTCCAGCCGTTGCAGCCAAATGGGGAGTGAACCAGTGGATGGAAGACCTCTCTCTCTCTGCCTCTCCTTCTTCCTCTGTGTAGCTCTGACTTTCAAATAAATAAATAAATCTTTAAAAAATGAAAAGCTTATGGGAAATAGAATTAAAGCACTCATTTACACAGTGCAAAAATTTTTGAAATCTATGCAGGGCTTTGTCATCGTACGCATTGTCCGAAAATGCTGGGGTAGTCCCGGCCCTGTGTGTGCCCCTTGTGTAGCTTAGGCAGCTGGGGAGGTGGGAGGGGTGGTCTTTGAGGCTCTTTTCAGCAACTCTGAAGAAAGAGCCAAAGGCAGGCCCTGCAGCGGCCTCACACAGGAGAGGGCTGAGCCCTCAGAACGGCTTCCCTGTCACTTTTCTAGACCACTGGGAGCTGTGTCACCTCCAAGTGCTGTCTTTCCCGTGTTCTCTTATCGGAGGGAAGTGATAATCTCGGGAGTTTATCCTATGCCTAGGACGCAGGAACGCTAAGCTAAACGCAGGGCAAATGGACTTGCCCACACTCAGGAGACCCACTCCAGAGGGGGAAAAGTAAAGTCAAACTTCCCGACGTCCAGGCCCGGCTCTCTCCAAGACCACACAGCTCGGCCCAGGTGGATGCCCTGGGGGACGCAGCCACTGGTGCCGAGTCCTCAGCGACTGAACCGAGGAGCTGTGCCTGGCAGCCCAAACCACCAAGCTTTAGGACGCAGAAGTTGCAGTGGGAATTCAGTGGAAATGAGACATCTTTGAGAGGAAGTTGAGGGGCCCACGCGTGGTGTAGGGGGATAAGCTGTGGCCTTTCAAATTTAAAAAGAGGAATTTTTTTTTTAAAAAAAGAGGAATTTGAATAAATTCTTGGCTAACCCCAGAATAAGAAAAGCCCTGTTGTTCTAACATACTCTCATGGACAACTATGACCTTGACCTTGACCTTCCAGTGGCTGTGTTGGAGAGACTGGCCCAGGGCCAATGTGAAACCAATAAGCACTCAAAATCAGTGCACAAAGAATCGAAAGTCATTCGCCAATAGTGACAGCTCCCCAGCTTCCACTTTCTCCTTTAATCTTTACCCGCACGTTCCTATGGGGTTTACATAGCCTAGGTCACAGCTTGTACACAAATCTGTTAGATAATTTGTGCAGCAAGGAAATTTTATGGTTGTTTTTGATATGCCGGTCATCATGGCGGCTGCACCATATTACATCGCACATACTGATGGGGTGTCGGACCCTACTTTCATCCATCTGAGTTCTTTTTAGTTTTTGGTTAGTCGGAGCGATTTTTAGACCTGTCATTATCTCATATAGGAATTTTAAACAGGTACTTCATTGGATTAAGTTGTCAAAACAATTTCTGCTCCGAGTGAACAAGCCGATCTGGAAAGAACTTGAGACTGAGGGAGAGTCGCAGGAACATGGCAGAGCTTGCCCCGTGCAGCCCGGTGAGCCCCTCGGAGCCCCTTCACGGGCCGCCTGCCAGCCTTCAGCTCGATGGTGCAGAGTTCACGCAGCAGCCAGAGCTGGCCCACATGTGAATGTGTGAGTGTGTGAGCTGAGTGTATCAGCGTGTGCAGCTTCCATGGTGTGGAGTCCAGAGCTGGCCCACGTGTGAGTGTGTCAGCGTGTCCAGCTTCCATGGTGTGGAGTCCAGAGCTGGCGCACGTGTGAGTGTGTCAGGGTGTGAGCAGAGTATGTCGGGGTGTGTGTGAGCTGAGCGTGTGAGCATGTGAGCATGTGTGTGAGCTGAGTGTGTCAGTGTGTGCAGCTTCCATGGTGTGGAGTCCAGAGCTGGCCCACGTGTGAGTGTGTCAGCGTGTGAGCTGAGTGTGTCAGCGTGTGCAGCTTCCATGGTGTGGAGTCCAGAGCTGGCCCACGTGTGGGTGTCCCCAGGCCAGGTGAAGGCCTTGACAATGCATCTGCAGGAACTCCCAAGTTCAAATCCACCATGGCCCTTTATGCCATTCCCTGAAAACAACAGAAGTGTCCAGAACAGAACCCCTGTCTGCTGGCCCCAAACCACCTGCTCCCTTCTGCCTCTTGGCCGACATCACCTCGTTTCTCCCTGGGCTGATGGGGCCTCGCTGGCCGTGGCTCCGCGACCCACTGCTGGATAGGGTGGGAGCAGCCCCTGCTGGCGCCCGGCGCCTGGCGCCCACGCAGCGTGAGTGCCCGAATCCTTCCTCCGGTTTTCCTGGGTGCACTGCGCCTTCTAGGCCTGGGTTTTATCTTGAGAACAAAGGGCTTTGGTGCCATTTTCCCAGGATATGATGTCACCAGGATTTATTTTCGATTTTCCCTCTTCTCCCTCCCCCGCAGTGAGCCCTTGATTGAAATCAGGGTTTCCATTGTCACCCTTTCACCCTCCCCACACTCCGCACCCGGCCCCGCCTCCCAGGACACAGATTCAGAAGGAAACAATCTCATATTCAGTGGGAAACACAGAGGCCTGAGCTCGGGGGCTGCAGGGTACTCGCTCCCTCTCCCGCTGAGTCACGGGCAGATTCCAGAGCCGCCCAGGGACACCCTGGTGACCTGCAAGCCCCCTCCCCCTCCCAGAGGGGCTTCAGGGCAGGTGGCCAGCCCCCCTGCAGACTCTGCTTTGAAGCTTAGCTGTTTTAATGGGGAGGAGGAAGAGGAGGGTGGCCTGAAAATGGACTTGGGGGGCAGGAAAGTACCTCCATCCTTCCCATTTCAGTCACTGCCTGCCTCACCGCGCTGCCGGCTGGTTCGGTGCCCAGGCTCTGGAAGCCAGAGTCCACTCTTGCCAGAGGAAGTCCACTCTTGCCAGAGGAAGTCAGCTTCCACGGGAGCTGGAATTCATGCGAATATAGGAAACCAGGCGTGCATGGATCTCAAAGGTTTTTTGGCCCCAAAATAACATTTCATCGCATTTTCCCACTTTGTAAAGGACCACCAATTCCTCCACCGTGGCTGAATCCAAAGCCCCTTCGCCCCCAGCATCGCGAGCCATGCGCATTCCCACGAGAAGGGCCTCCCCAGCGCAGCCCAGCTGCTGTCCGTCACCCCAGGGTTCCTTGGCTAACTCACCCCTCACTGCCCCCTGGCAAGGCCACAGCTGGATAATGTGGAAAAGCCATCTGGCGTCTGGCTTCAGCCGTGGCTACCTTATTTTCCAGCCTCAAAATCAACTCTCCCAGCTCGGCAAATATGAGTCTGAGAGGGTGCTTCAGAAAGTTCATGGCACCCAACAATGTTTTGGTGCAGAAGATTTTGGGATCCAGGGCTGGTGCTGTGGCATAGCTGGCAAAGCCGCTGTCTGCACTGCCAGCATCCCAAATGGGCGCCAGTTCAAGTCCCGGCTGCTCCACTTCCGATTTAGCTCTCTGCTATGGCCTGGGAAGGCAGTAGAAGATAGCCCAAGTCCTTGGGCCCCTGCACCCCCGTGGGAGACCTGGAAGAAGCTCCTGGCTCCTGGCTTTGGATCGATCGGCCCAGCTCTGTTGTTGCAGTTTGAAGAGTGAACCAGCAGATGGAAGACCTCTTTTTCTCTCTCTCTCTCTCTCTGCTTCTGCCTCTCTGTAACTCTGCCTTTCAAATAAATAATTTTTTTTAAAAAAAAAGAGGTTTAAGATCCATGCACAGTTCTTGCTTTTTCATGAGCTTTTTGGAGGTCAGCACGCGGGAGCTGGCTCTCCTGGAGCTGTGGTCACCCCAGCTGCCCATCCCGCGAACGCTGCCTCCCCTCGCCAGGCGCCCTTTCCTGCACCTCTTGTTGGTTTTTCCCAATGCTGCATCCCAGCTGGACCTCGACCAGGAGGGGCTCTGGCCAGCACAGTGCTGCCAGTTTCTCCTGCTCACGTGACCTGCAGAAAGGCCCCTGAGGCTGTATCCCTAATGCCTGAAAGATCCGAATTCAAACCCGAGACTCCCTGACCTCCGTCAGCATCCACACACCTGTTGGCAGGAGCACGGGCGTTGAGTGTCAAATCCTGGAGCACCGGACTGGTCTGCAGCAGCTTGAGGGACAGGTGGCTGGGTGGCCGGGATGGGGCTCCCGCAGAGCCCTGATTCGGGTCTCCCACCTCTCCTCCCACGCCAGCCTCTCTCTCTCCATCCCACTCAAGCAAAGCAGAAAGGAGAGACCTAGAGGGCCCACTGGTGCAGCCCTTGTCTTTCCAGAGAAGTGAAATGCTTGTCCCTGGAACCACCTCCGGGTGTGGGGGAGAAGGGTGCATTTTTCACTGCAGGTGAGGCCGGCCAGCCCTGTCCCCACCCCCACCCCAAGGAGCTCCAACCCTGTCCTGGGTGCAGCTGACCCATCTGCTCCTCCCCACACACCCCCACCCCGCCCACTCGGGTCCCCAGAGGGCAAGGCGGCCAGCAGGCATTGTACAGATAAAGCTGCTGACCCAGCCTCCTAACCCGGGAAGACGGTACGTAAGGTCCATGCAGCTCCCCAATTCCTCGGATTTGGTGACATCAGGACGGTGAATAATCAGGCTGGCCCCGCGCCAGGATGGGCCGAGCTGCTTCCAGGGACAACTTCCTCCCCCCTTCCTCTGAACACAAGCCCGCCCCCCTGCTTGGCTCCCTGCGGGGGCCCTGTCCTCTGGGCATCCTCTGGAGCCCGCCCACCGGGGCCGCCGACCCCACCCCCTTGCCTTGAAATTAAAGGAGGCGGGAGCGGCTGGCTCGGGAGACTGGCCCGGGGCAGGAGAGAAAGCCACACCAAGCAGCCGAGGAGCCGGCGCACCGGCAGCAGCCAGAGGCACGGTAAGATGGGATTCTGGGCTTTTCTGTCGCCGCCGCCGTCTCTTCTTCTCACTCTTCAAAGTCTTTTGGGCAATCTGAGCCAATGCTGAAGTAGAGGGACTGACTTTGCCATTCAGGCCCAGCTAAAACCTGCCCCGGGAGGAGGGTTCCTTTCTCTGTGTGTGCGTGGAGTCCGGTGGGACGCTGCGACGTTTCTCGAGGGCGAGGTGGCTGGGGACGTGCGGCAGAGAGCGGCCGAGTGAAGGGAATGAGGCCGCCTCGTGACTGCGCGACAGCAAACTGCGAAGGTGGACCGGGCTCCTGCAGGCTCAGGCTGCCTGGGCCCGAGGATGGGAGTGTCCGCTGTTGCCCCACTCCCCCCCCCCCCCCCCCCCCCG